GATTTGTGGGGATTAACCAGCAGATTTGCCCCCGTGTGATAACGTCCTTAGTGTTGCATTTAGCAAAATGTATTGAAATTAAACAGCTATCCCTCACTCCAAATTTGTATTGCCCTGTATATTGTTTGCAAAATTGTTTATATCTTGTCCTATCTTATCTTCTTAGATCTTCTCCTTTATGACATCCACAAGATTTAAGGGCAGTTTACAAATTAAATCCACTTAAATCAAAGTAAGGCAGTAAAGAATAACTTAAACAGCCTAAAAGCATACAGGCTGAGTCTTCCTTATCCAAAATGCTTGGGACAAGAAGAGTTTTGGGTTTTGGATTTTTCTGGATATTGGAATATCTGTATTTGCATATACGTACATCTTGGAGATGGGACCCAAGATGAAACACAACATTTATCTGTGTTGCATATATATCTTATACACAGAGCCTGAAGGTAACTTTATAAAATATTTTAAATACTTTTGTGCATGAAACAAAGTTTGGGTACACCAAACCATCAGAAAGCAAAGGTGTCACTATCTTAGCCACTGATGATTTCTCCCCCTGTTTTTTGGAGTATTTTGGACTTAGGAATTCTGGATAAGGGAGACTCAACCTGTACTAAAGAATATGAGAAACTGAACAAGTTTTAAAACCATGTACCTGTGCAGATCTGGACAAAATCATTAGACATCCCAAAAGCTTTGATTAAAAAGTCAGGCTTTAACTTGGCACCAAAGAAAGCCAGGACTGATTTGGTTTCTAAGGAGAGGATATTCCATAACTGGTATGCCAAATCAGAGAAGGCCTTCTCCTATGTATATTTAGCTGGGAAAATAGAAGACAGAGGTGACTTAAAAACTATCTTGAACTATCTGATGGGATGTCATGGAGAAGATGGGCCAAGCTTGTTTTCTGGTGCTCCAGAGGTTAGAACACAAACCAATGGATTCAAATGACAAGAAAAGGTATTCCACCTAAACACTAGGAAAAACTTCTTCATGGCATAAATTCAAAATCCAGGAGTTGCTGTGTTGGCTATACAGCAAAGTACAATAAGATCCATAATTGTGTTGGCTATACAGCAAAGTACAATAAGAAAACAGTGATACCTTTTATTGGGACAACCAAAATGCACAAAACACATGTTGCAAGATTTGGAAGCTCCACCTGCATCTTCATCTCAAAAAGGAGAAAGGGAAAAACATTGGATTGTTGAAGTCATAGGCCTACATTTTGTGAAGATGTTATTATATTTGTTCCCAATTAAGATGGAACAGAGGGGTATCTATGTAGACAGAAGCCATTTCTTCTCCTTTGCCATGTGGGCTTTGGGAGACAGGATTTCACACTCCAGGAAATAGAATTTAATAATAATAATAATAATAATAATAATAATAATAATAATAATAATTTTTATTTATATTTCCCGCCTCTCCCCATGGATCGAAGCGGGATTTAAAGAGTGTCTAGACTTGCCTTGTATAGTAGTGGACTCTCCATCTTTGGAGGTCTTTAAACAGAGGTTGGATGAACATCTCTTAGTCTTTTGGGGAGAGATTTCCCTTGTGTTGAAAGCAACTAGAGACAGGGATAGAAAAGTGTTCATTACAGCCCCTTGCAAGGCAGGGATGGGCAGCACGTGGCCTTCCAGGTATCGATGGACAGCAATTCCCATTGTCCCTCACCATTTTGCCCTGTTGGGGATTTGCAGCACCTCACAGGGTGGTTCTGAACTACTCCGGGGTGACAAGAGGTGAAAGAAAAAGGCTTCCTTCCCCTCTGAGCCTGTGGCTCCTGGACAAAGGTTCTCTCCTTCTTTGAGAGTGGAGGGGGGAAATGGTGTTTCCTTCCCTTCTGAGCCAGTGGGAATTAGAGAAGGTGTCTCTCCTCTGAGCCTGGAGGGAAAAGCAGGGTGTTTCCTTCCCCTCTGAGCTGCTGTTGGCTGGAGAAAGGATGCCTCCTTCCCTGAGGCTGAAGGTAAATGAAAGGTGTTTCCTTCCCCTCTGAGCCAGTGTGGGCTGGAGAAAAGGTCTCTCCTTCTCTAAACCTGGAGGTAAATGAAAGGGCCTTCCTTCCCCTCTTAGACGTTATCACACGTGGGCCAGAAAGCGAAAATAAAGTGGAAATGAGGCATCCCGAAAATAAACGGAAAATAAACCTTAATTCCGTAAACGTCATTACCTTAATTGCGAAATTACAGTAAGCGCATTTAACGTTCACACACAAGTGAGAAAAGCCTGTAAATGTATTAGAAATGATCTTCTTGCACATGCGCAGATAAGAGGAATGCTCACCGTGGAACCATGGGAAAAAGCAGGGAAATGCTCCCAAATTTGCATTTGCTTTTCACATTACGGTAAATGCGAAATTACTGTAATTTCGCAAATGCATTTCCTCAAAACTACCGAATTTCAAAAGAACACGGATAACACCAGTTTCTGTCCACTTTCTGTGCAACGTCGTGTGAAAACGTGGGGCACAAATCCAGTTTCCGTTTGGGATTTGTGTGGATTAACCAGCAGATTTCCCCCCCGTGTGATAACGTCCTTAGCCAATGTGGGCTGGAGGAAAGGTCTCTCCTTCTCTAGTCCTGAAGAATGGTGCTTCCTTCCCCTCTGAGCCAGTGGGAGCACGGAGAAGGGGAGGAACTCCCTCCCTCCTCGCTGAAAAGAGCTAAAGGCAGGGGTAGAAAAGTGGAAATAGTAATAGCAAGTACATTTCTATACCGCTTACCTATGTAGGCAACCTAAGGCCCAGGGGCCGGATGCGGCCCCCCGAGGTCTTTGGACCGGCCTCAGGCCGCTCCTCCTGCCACCGC